TATTGCTACTCTTTAGGAACACTACACCTTTTGGTAATTACTGTTATATGAGTGATATAACCCCTCTGGTAACTACTGTTATATTAGTCATACAACCCCTCTGGTAACTACTGCTATATGAGTCATACAACCCCTCTGGTAACTACTGTAATATGAGTCATATAAAACCTCTGGTAACTACTGCTATATGAGTCATACAACCCCTCTGGTAACTACTGCTATATGCGTCATATAAACTCTCTGGTAACTACTGCTATATGAGTCATACAACCCCTCTGGTAACTACTGCTATATGCGTCATATAAACCCTCTGGTAACTACTGCTATATGAGTCATATAAACCCTCTGGTAACTACTGCTATATGAGTCATACAACCCCTCTGGTAACTACTGTAATATGAGTCATATAAACCCTCTGGTAACTACTGTTCTATGAGCCATATAAACCCTCTAAGTACTGTTCTATGAGCCATATAAACCCTCTGGTAACTACTGTCATATGAGTCATATGAACCCTCTGGTGACTACTGTTCTATGAGTCATATACACCCTCTGGTGACTACTGTTCTATGAGTCATATACACCCTCTGGAAAATAATGCAACAAACACGTGCGACAAACGAACGCACTTCCAGGTACTCTGAAGTGACATGCACCTCAGAGCCTTCCCGGATTAAGACCTGAAGGCCGTTTCCAATCGTCGCCCGTTCGTACACACATATGTGTTTCAAGCCGAAACGTAGTGTGAGCGTGTGGCTGCTATGTTAGTCTCTATATTCACCAATGGGCGTATATATCCTAAAACAATTCGTGACTCAACACACCAATGTGCGTGTATATTCCTAAGCCTTTGCGTATTGGGCACCGGCGTGTGCCTGCCGTTTGTTCGTTCGGCACTAGTATGCCACTCGTTGTGTGTGCTGCTCATGATCCGTGCGGGCTACTAAGTCCTACGCAGAAAACTGCATGCGCCACTCAGCTCAGCAGGGTCCCGAACTGTCTCTGGTACAATCTCTATACACATGTCCATGTATTTATAGATATCACTAAACATACTTCATTCAGCCGCGTAGCAGTATCAGCAACTTCCAAAGAATTATTAACTTCCATCACTTCATCTGGAACACGCTCTCTCGTAGCCTGATACACAATTTCTGTGTAGGGTACTCATGCTCACGTGCGATTCAAGAACACACTCATAGGATCAAAAATCAATCCCACTGTACTATACTCGGTCGAGATACCTACCTGGCTGCGTCTGTAGATACTCTCTCAGCATACGCATCACAATGTGCGGTTCCACCAACTGCCCCTGATCCATGATAGAAGCTACCTCTAAGCCCAGCGGTGTTTTGGCCTCAACTTCGTCGCGCAGCATTTCGCCGGTAGAGATATGGCCCACCCCACTAGTTTCCATCAGGCGTTGTGATAGGGTGCCCTTGCCTGTAGCATACACAGAGACAGTAAACACACAAGTATATTGCGGACGGATCAGTATCAAACACTTATCTCGCAACCATCGGATATACAGAGTACCGATTCCCAACACCGCATGCTCCCTCTGTTGTTCCGCAACGGTGTCTTTGTCTTGGGTAGATACGTCGATGAACACTCCCCCACAACTCAATGCGATCTCTTCAGTCGCCCACGTGGATACCATTTATATAAATTACGTCTCTTTATGACTTGTGCATTAGCAAAGGTAGTGCTTTCGATTGTCGAGATATCAAGTACCCAAAGCAGTCAATAGTGTATACAAGTTCTTCCCCAACATGCAGGGCATATGACTGCACTCTGATTTGTCTACGGGTCTCAACAGCCCCTCAATCAGTAACTTCCTTATCAAGATATCAAGCCTAACAGCACATGCGTGTAACCCCTTCAGAATATAGCCTCTTACACATAAACGACACAATCTCCTCCGAAAATTATGTCGAGTAGAATCTTACTATAAACATGTAATATCCCACTATAAACATACTACAAAATGACCCAGTATCATCCTACTATAAACATACTACAAAATGGTCCAGTAACATCCTACTATAAACATACTACAAAACGGTTCAGTAAAGCCCTACTATATACATACTACAGAACAGTCTACTCGCAAGACCCTGTTACCTATATCACACCTCCAAAACCATGACAGAAGAATAGCGCATCCACCTCAACCCTACGCACCTGAACCTGGCCCACCCATTGCAAAGATGACGCGGTAGCCCGTCCTAAACCTCCAGCTCACTATCCCCGCATCCAGGATCTCACAGAACTCGTCAAAGTCTATATGCCCATCCCCGTCCCTGTCAAACACATCGATCACTCGCTGGGCCTGCTCCTCAGTCATCAGACTTCCGGCGGTCGACAGCATAGTCATGAGCTCAACCGCGTTGATGTGTCCACTGTTGTCGCGGTCGTACACGTTGAAGGCTTCGTGCAGCTCGGCTTCCATCTCTACGTGTGTGGGTGGGAATACGCGCCGGTGTGAACAATACTGTGCACAGGCACTGGGGTCTTTCTTTGGCAAGTGTACAGGTATAGGGATTTTGATGACAGATGTGGTAGCGTGGCTGTGATATCGGTGCATCGCTGTGCCCACTGCCGTCTCAGCCGTACTTTGTGGGAGCTTCACGTGATGCGGAGTGCATCTAAGGCTATGAGTATCTCTGATGGTAATAGTGCCTACAGTAATATGAAGGTAACAACATAGGATAGGAAGATATCTATGTACTATGAGTGGGGATGTGCTCGTGGGACGGTAGCATTGTCACGCATTTGTAATTTATTTACGTAATTTAACAAGCGCGTGTGAAGGACAGTTGCAGCCTACAACCATCTCACACAAACAGCAAATGAAGGTACATGCTTGACTATGCTCACAGCCAGTGGTATGGCCAATACTCATCTGTCAGCGTATGTGGAAGTTATGGTGAAAGCAATATATGGGCATATGAAACCAAGTGAGCATCAACATACAACCACCCACGTACACGCATGACGGTGCACTCACACCCACACCCATACGCCCAACACATTCCCAAGTACATGTTCAAGCTATGGCGTATTCTCATTGTATGTCCCGTACCTTTCCCTCGTTTGCGGTCTAGGGTGGGTACGAAGGACTCGGCTTCGTTGTGAAAATCCTCGAGGGTCATGCCGTGGGGAAACCGCTTCCGCGTGTTCTCCATCATTTCCGTAAACCTGGGAGTTCCTCGGGAGACGCCCAGAGCCTGGTACAGGCGTTGTAAATGCGCGTGTGTGGCCACCTGCACAGTATAGGAGACCAGGCAGTCTATGTCAGGTGAAGTACTTTATGCCCTAGTGTTGGGTCTGACGGTCCAATATCTGCCTACAGTTTGCTGTGTCAGGCAAGTAGTCACATTCTGTAGAGATACAGCCGACTAGCGAGGGCGACAGGTAAGCCGAGCCATGCACAGGGGCACTTTGGAGAGAGACTTATATGTTCGTTTGATATCCACAGCCAGCATTACAGCACTGCTATGATTCGCCTGGCCTATATGTTTATCCATGGCCAACTGAAAAAACATCGTTGACTATGGTTTATCTAATGAACCAGGCACGGGCGCAGGCGCATATATTTACACATACACAGACACGCATCTGCCTGCGTGTCTATGCATGAAAAGTATTCAAGCACGCGATTCATATATACACACATATCTACATGCAAAGAGTACCGACAAGCCATACCCGAGACTCGTCGTAACCAGCCTCGCTGTAGTGGTTGTACAAGTTCGTAATTTCATCTCTCCTGAGCCTATCGAGCGCATTAAATCTTTTCTCAGACACTCCTGTGATAACAGGCGCAGATATGTCCTTCAGCAATACAAATTCGTACGCTTCTTGGAAAAAAAAATTCTGTGGAAAGGCCCGCACGCGGACGTCTGGAACAACAAAGTTCTCTTGTATGTAACTGACAATGCAGACACCCAGCAACTAATGTGCACAACTACACGCGTTCAAAATATATATAAGACAGGCAGCTGGTTGATCAGTCGAAGTAAGTACCAAATGGGACGAGTAATACACAACTACGCGAGCACAAGGCTATGGTAGTAAGTACACAGCAATATTAACTCAGAATACTATGCGCCTTCTATGTGAGGACACACTCATCGTATACATAATATATATATCTAGCTATCTATTTATCTATCTATATATATCA